AAACTTTAATTTATTTTAAAAATTAAAATTGATATGCATTTTTTTTATTATATTTATTTAATATCATATGTCATATAATTATAAATTTATCATTTTAAGTAATACTATTTTTTCATTAAAATTTCAAAATTTAAAAATTATATTATTATCAACTAATTTAAAATTAAATCATAATGAGTTATATATAAAAAAATTTTAATGTCTATTACTATATTTATTAAATTTAAATTTAAGATTTTATTTAAATAATATTTTCACCTAAATGTATGGCTTTATTTTATTTAGATTTTATTTAAATAAAAAAATTAAATGATCAAAAAATTCAAAAATCCTGCTCAAATATCAAATCCCTTGTCATATGGTCATATAAGCATGACATGGCAATGTTTTGCCATCCAAACAGCCAGGCGAGCAAGTCCCAAACGGTAGTTAAGCCAGGCGAGCAAGTCTGAAACGGCGGTTAAGTTGGCGTAAGAAGAAGGGCTTAATTGCCTTGATCGCAGAGTTCAAGAGCTTATATGTATCAATTAAAGTTTAGGGGTTTGATAGCAATTCTGGAATTAATTCAGGAGCTAACTTATGGTTTGCCTTTTTCTCTGCCTCGGATTCCTTTATCTCTTGCCATTTACCAATAGCATACCCACGTTTTCAAATGCTAGTGGAATTGCCTGCCTTCCAGCAAAGCTAAGCAGAGAACAACTTTATGCAGAAGTCCGGAAAAACAACTCAGAAAAAGCAATTATTAGCCCATAGAAGACAGAAAATGTCAGTATGTCACTGTATAAACGTACAATTTTTGAGTGGATGAAAAATGTACAATTATTTACCAGTATCAGATCCTGTAGACTAAGCGGTGAGAGTCTAGAGCTGAGCGCCACTTGAAATGGGTCCTTGTAATCCCCTCTAGACATCAAGACATGACAGCTATTAATGGAGTCAGAAATTATATGTGAGCGAGAGGTACCAATTTTTTTTATAAAAACATTTATAGAAATATGTAAGAATAGAGAAACAGTAGTAAATCGGTAATATTAAGTACCCGCTAAAATAAAGGTTTACAATGATATTATTTATAAATTGTGGGACTTAAAACATTAAAATAGATAGTTAAAATGGTCGAACTTTATTAACCGATTCAATTATAAAAGTTAAGGAAAAACTTTATAGGATTTTGTTAATAATTTAAATAATTTAATAATATTTTTTTATTAAAAATAAAAAATAAAAAATTTAAATTTAAATTACA